GCACTTACAGATCTAACTTCAAATAAGAACATTGTCATCAAACAAGCCGACAAGGGAGGGGGGATTGTGATCCAAGACCGTTTAGTATACATCACTGAAGCCTTGAGACTACTCGCGGACACCACCACCTACATATCCTTACTTTCAGACCCACTAGCAGCGTCCTCTAAAGAACTCGACAATCTCATCACTACAGCATTAAATATGGCCATCATTAACAAAAAAGAAAAAACTTTCCTGAACCCAAAACTGTAGCGCTCTCAATACATTCTTTATTATGTCATAACTGTGGGATTATGTACAGATACAGCATGCCCTTCTCTGACTACCATTGACTTTAAAGCATGGCAAGCTTTAAAGAAGTATTCTGATTTCCTGCTTAATGTTCAGCAAATTTGCATTTTAGCTGCAAAATCCCCCAAAATATATAAATATGTTATATTAAGAAACATTAGTAGTTTCTCATTTTTAAAGACACCTTACTGACTAGAACGGTACTAACTGACTGCCGCAGTGCAAATGTGATACCAATATTCAAAAAATGATCATGATGTATATCAGGAAACTACAGAGCAGTCAGCCTACCATCAATAGTATGTAAAGTATTTGAGGGACTCTATTCAGAAATTTGTCTGCACGGACCTGTTATCGTTCTATGAGAAAGTTAAAAATACGGTATACTGGAGTTGAAGAAAGTGTACGTACATGGATAGGAAACTGGTTGCACGGACGGGTTCAGACAGTAGTGATAAATGACTCTAAGGGGGTTATTCACTAAGCTGCCGAAGTCAGCAGAGTGAATAACTGTCCCGAGGTGAAGGGAGCCGAACGCCGTACATCGACTGGCTTCGGCTCCGTTCGTTAAGCCGGACAGGTCGGCTGAGCCGAAGTGAAGAACACGTTCGCCTCAGCTGATCCAACATCTGGATTGGCTGAGGTGAGTGTACGGCAGTTTATTCGGTTTGGTTATTCTGCTCGCTACCTAGGTAGCGAGCAGAATAAAAAAAATGTAAACAAAAGAAAAAAAACAGTGTGGGGTCCCCCTACAAAACCATACCAGACCCTTTAGGCCTGGTAGGAAAATTAGAAAAAGAATGTGCGTTAGGTTCCCCCAACACCCCACTTATTTTTTCCCATTTTTGGGTGGTGGGGTTCCCCCTTAAAAATCATACCAGACCTTAACCTCCTTGGCGGTATTCCCGAGTGTGGCTCGGAATTCATTTGAATTACCAAAAGCGGTAACCCCGAGCCACACTCGGGATTACACAGCGCCACACTTACCTTGTCCACGACCCCCTCTGTGTCCCTGGCCGAAGCCGGCATCCGTCTTCCGGGTTCTGTCCCTTGCGAGCATACGTGTAGCAGGGAGGGCGGAACCGGCGGCAAATTTAAACGTAAAAAAATAGACAAAAATGGAGAAAAAAAAAATCAGACCGCCAGGGAGGTTAAGGGTCTGGTATGACTTTTGGGGGGAACCTCAAGCACTTTTTTTTTTTTTTTAACTGTCCCGCCTAACATTCCTACCAGACCTAAATGGTCTGGTATGAATCGGGAAGGGGACCCCACACCATTTTTTTTTGTTCTCCCCGCTTCGGCTTTGTCTTCGGCAGACCATTCTCCCCACTTCGGGTGCGTCTTCGGATCAGCCGACCGAACGGATATGCTTCAGGTCGGCTAAGTGCTTTGGCTGACTCACTGTGCACTTGGTCACACACCATATTGCTTATTTCTGCACAACGCCTCTTGGACAGGCCTTATGGCTAGTCCGGGGCAATATTTTTGCACTCCGGCCCCTAAGGCCTGTCAGCGTGGTGCACTGGCACTTTAGATTTATTTATGCACTCTATGCACGTTTGGCTCTTTTTATTTTTAAATTGACCCACAGATGCTGAAGGTGCAGGTTTCTTCGGGGCCTATTCCTGACGCTGGGAGGAGATTCTGTGCCTCCTACGGGGTTCTCTGTCTCCTCCCATCCAGGAGGTGGGTCTCTCTTCGGGAGAGCCCACCTGCCTAGTACTGTGAGGGACCTGTTGCGGCAGGTCCCTGAAGGAAATGGGTCCACCGGCCTTCGGGTTGGTGGACCAACAGTCTCAACCCCTGTCAGGAGCCTTGCGCCCCGGGGGGTCGGGAAAGTAGGTCCCTTCTTACGAAGGACCTTGCACCCTTGTGCACGTTTTTGTGTGCTGTGATTTCACGGTTCACTTTTTTTGTTCACAGGGGGAAGTTTGATGCACGTCCACGGGCTTCGAAAAAAAAAAAAGTGCTTTGGCTGCTGTACAGGCTATTGCGAGCAGCCGGAACAAGCCAAAGGTTCGGCTATATCCTTCAGATCTTTACTGAATAACCGCTTAAATGTTTAAAGTTGTGAGTGGTGTGCCCCAGGGTTCTGTCTCGGGACCAATGCTGTTTTAATTAAAACCTCAATATCATTCATTTTCAACAATTTAAAGTGTTTGATGATACCAAATTATGCAGGGAAATAAAGTTTGCACAGGATGTATGTTGTAGCAACATTACAGGAAGACCTTGGTAAAATAGGGAGTTGGACCACTAAGGTAGTGGTCCAACAGGTCGGACAGGTCGGCTAAGCCGAAGTGAAGAACACGTTCGCCTCAGCTGATCCAACATCTGGATTGGCTGAGGCGAGTGTACGGCAGTTTATTCGGTTTGGTTATTCTGCTCGCTACATAGGTAGCGAGCAGAATAAAAAAAATTTAAACAAAAGAAAAAAAACAGTGTGGGGTCCCCTTACTAAACCATACCAGAGCCTTTAGGCCTGGTAGGAAAATTAGAAAAAGAAAGTGCGTTAGGTTCCCCCAGCACCCAACTTATTTTTTTCCATTTTTGGGTGGTGGGGTTAACACTGAATATCAAAAAATAACAGGTTTTGCACTTGGGTGGCAAAAATATTAGGGCTGGTAATGATTAAAATTTTCCTGTTCAATTAATCGAAATTTCTTTTAATCGATTAGTCGACTAATTTCGATTAATTATAACGCACATACAGATCTCGCAAACTCTAGAGCTGCCTCTGCCCACCGGTGACCCTTAGCGCTGCACATTCACTCACCAGCCTGGTGAGACCCCTCAGAGCTCTGGTGAGACCCCACAGAGCCCTGGTTAAAGTAGGGTTCAGTGGGGTCTCACTAGTCCTGGTTAAACCCCACAGAGCCCTGGTGAGACCCTACAAAGCCCTGCTTTAACCAGGGCTCTGTAGGGTCTCACCAGGGCTCTGTAGGGTCTCGCCAGCCTGGTTAGACCCTCAGAGCCCTGGTGAGATCCCACACTGCCCTGGTTAAACCCTTGCTCCGTAGGGTCTCACCAGCACCAGGGCCCCGTAGGGTCTCACCAGGGCTCTATGGGGTCCCACCAGGGCTATGTGCGATTTCACCAGCCTGGTGAGACCCCTCAGGGCCCTGGTGAGACGCCAAAAAGCCCTGGTCAGACCCCACAGAGCCCTGGTTAAACCAGGGCTCTGTGGGGTCTGACCAGAGCTTTGAGGGGTCTCAACAGCACCAGGGCTCCATAGGTTCTCAGGAGCTACATACAAACAGTGGGACAGAATGGTATATATTTAGGAGTTGGGCTAGATCTGGCTACTGGAAGACACAGTCAGTCATCAGGCACATATTCTATTCTACTTGTATTATGATCTAGATTGTTGGTACAGCCTCAAGTAATTAAAAAAAAAAAGAATAACCAAACTGCTTGGAAGAAAAACACTCCACCATCATTCATCTACGGATCACTAACTTCCCCTCAATTTTTGCTGCTGTTCCCAACTCTCTGTGTTTGTGGTTAAATATTTCAGTTTGTAATATGAGTGAGTATGCACTAATGAAGCAGGAGACTCACCGGCCCAAGTGATCCCGTCAGGTAACGAAGGGAAGGGGGAGGAGTCCGGTGATGTCACGGACATCGACGTCAACTGACTCCTCCCTCCTTTCCTTCGTTACCCATCACGGACAACTACATCACCCGACTCCTCCCCCCTTCCCTTCGCTAGCCGACAGAGCCACTCGGGGAGGGGTCCGGTGACGTCGATGTCCGTGACGTCACCGGATCTCCGATGTTAGACCCGGAAGCCGGCGGAGAGGTGAGTACGGATCAAAATAATTTTGATCGATCAAAAAAATTTATGATTAATCGTTAATTTCCACACCCCTAAAAAATATGTATGCTAAATACACGTTGGAAGGGGCTCTTCTGGCAGAAACAGTGATGGAAAAGGATTTGGAGGTGCTTGTAGATCACAGACTCAGCAATAGCATGCAATGTTATGCTGCAGCTATTTAAAGCTAGCTGAATACTCTCATGGATAAAAAAAAGGCATATTGTCAAGAGGTATTCTACCTCTTTACAAAACACTGATGCAGCCTCATCTTGGATATGCAGTTCAGTTTTGGTCACCAATCCCAAGAAAATTGTTCTTAAAGTAGTATGAGTTCAGCGAAGGACAGCAATGTTAATAAAAGGGCTGGAGGACCTCAGATATGAGGAACAATTAAACAGATTTACACTTATTCACCCATGAGAAGAGGCGCTTATGAGAGGATATGATCACAATGTACAGCTATATCAAAGGCAACATCATAATAACTGAAAACGGTTTACCCCAAGGTCCATGTAGAAGACATGTGGCCACAGTTTGAGGTTGGAAAAAATTAGGTTTAACCTTAGAGTGTGCAAGCGGTTCTTTACAGTTAGAGCAGTGAAAATTCCTTCTTCAGGTAGTGGTACCAGCAGAGAGTGTTGAAAAAGATTTAAAATGTTTTAGATGTCTTCCTCAAGGAGCACAGTATACAGGGTTATTGGCACCCATGGATTAAACTGGAAGGACCTGTCTTTTTTTAACCGTATCAACTATATAACTCTGTAACTTGGGCCAATAGAAGTATAGAAGACATTTTGTTTAGTGCATGGTTATACTTTAAGCTTAGTAAGGGCAAAAACAAATTGTATGGCCCCGTCGAAAACAAAGAGAAACAGTTCTTTAATACCTGCTAGTAAATGTCAGCGCCAATGCTGTAGACAGATGTGGCATCAATCGTAGGTGTTGGGTTTGATGTTCAATTATCTTCACTTCCTCTTTGTCTTTTGGGCCAAACTGCCTCCGACTGAAAAACAAAGATTAATAACAGGACATAAGTACAACAAGGAGAGAATATATGCACAAAATACCAGTGCTGTCACATGGGAGAGTCACATGCACTGCACTCCCAGTGGGGGAACAGAGCAGTGCAGGAGTAAAGGAAAAGCAAGTACAAGCTGCTAGGGGAAGGAGGGCAAGTTAACCACTTGAAGGCCATAGTGTTTCACCCCCTTCCTGGCCAGGCCATTTTTCAGTATTCAGCGCTGCGATACTTTGTCTGATGTTTATTCCGTCATGCAACGCTTTACTGAAACGATTTTCATACCATTGTTTGGGGACAGATAGAGCTTTCTTTTGGTGGCTTTTATTCACCACTGGGGTTTTTATTTTTTACTATATAACAAAAAAAGTACCCTAAATTTTGAAAAAAAACATGTTTCCCTATAAAATGTTATGAAACATTTTTTTTCACCCCAATTTTTTGGTAAAATATAAAAGTCGGGGTCACGTCGGGTAAATAGACACTAAACATGTCAACCTTTAAAATTGCGCGTGCCCGCAAAATCGCAGAAAACGACCGCAGCCAAAATTGGCCATAGGCGACGCTTTAAACGTTTTTACCGCTCATCAGTTTAGTGTCATCAGTGATTGATGGCCCTAGAATTATTGTTCTCACTGCGACGTTCGCGGCGATATGTAACATGTGCTGCATAATGGGCGCAATCGTCGGTTTCGTACATAGGCGCACCCGACGCATGTTTGCGCGTGTATCTGGGGGGCGGGGGACTTTAAAAAAATGTTTGTGTTATTTTTTTTATTTTTTTTAGCTTCTTTATTTTTTTTAGCTTCTTTATTTTTTTTAATGCTGTAATTTTTTTTTTTTGACTTAACTTTATTGCTATAACATAGGGGACTAAGGAATCCCCTATGTAATAGCCAGTTCACCAAACAGGTCCTCTTTATGGAGACATCAGGGGTCTCAAGACCTCTGATGTCACCTAGGGACCCCCACAGAAGCTGATGAAGCACAGATCTGCTCCATCAGCTTCTCTCCGGTGTTCTGCACCGGAGAGTGACACTGAATGCAGGAAGTGATGTAATATACATCACTTCCTGCATTCGGGGACAAGAAGAGAGATCAAAGGGATGATCAAGTAATGATCATCCCTTTGATCTCCTGTTAGAGCGTCGCCGTGCCGGTCCCAGCCGCACCGGCCACATCGGAACACGGGACCGGCAGCGGCGGCGAAGAGACGAGCAGGAGGAGGTACGGGCTGGCTGTTTACATGCTGACGGTTTTCCCTCTCGTGTGCGGCGCTCAGCGCGGACAAGAGAGGGAGGAGGGGCAGGACGTCTTAAGACGCCCTCCCGCTCTGAGCAGACGTCCATCTGGCCGTTCACAAACGGCCATGGACGTAAGGTAGTTAAGTGACTCTTTTACTTTGCCCTGGAAGGCAATGAAAAGGGCCATATTAACAAAGAGGAAGTTCATGTTTATGGTGGAGAGTTTTAGAGGTGACTGTATGGCTAAAAGCGTATATCTGCTTTATGTTTGGTTATATCCCAGTGTGGACAAATAAATGTGGGCCAAGAAAATCCCAAAACATAGTTTATTGAGCTGGGTGGTGCTGACAGGGCCAGCCCATGGCATGAATTTCAGCCAACTCAAGAAGAGAGAGTGCTATCTGAATCTATTTTGTCTAAGTGTAAATAGACAAGGAAATAGCACTGTGCCAGCAATACGATTGAACCACTATGTGGATATCCACAAAGCATCCTCTATTGATGTGGAGTGTGATAAGACGGCTATGGTTTGGCAACCTCTGACAACGTAAAATCAACGCTAAACAGCTACATACACATTTAAAATACACAGATGCAAATTGTCAAATCTGCCAAAGGACTAGAAAATTCTATCAAGCCAGTTTTCTGTTTTATACACCTTTACTCATAGCACAGTGAGGGGTGACACCACTTTCTCTGTTAGAGTTATGTAATACAGTGGTGTCACCTCCCCACCCCAGCCAAATGACTGGACAATGAAGAAGCGGCAATACACTGACAAGTCATCTGTGCTCACTGCTCGCTCCTCTCTGAATGTTCCCTGTAACACACATACATGTAACACAGCCAGACTGGTTCCTGGTGCTGCCATTCAAGCTCTCATTCTGACTGCTGCTGTACAGGAATTAACAGGAAGTCAGTCTCAAGACTGTAAACGCATCTAAACATTTACAAAAAATCTTGTTTTAAGCAGGGTTTGCTATATGTGCTCGGAGTTAGGCCTTGAAAACTTAAAGCAGACCTTGCAGTAAAAATGCAAAGTCAACTTAATATATGAAGGTCCTGTCCCCCATTGTTAAGAGCATCCATGCAAAAAAAAGTGTAAAGGAAAAAATTTAGTACAAATACTTACCTTTTCCCCAGCTTTTGTCCATATCACCTAGTTAAGGGTAACATCACCATCCTTTGGGCAAGTTCCAAGGAATACTCGAAATCTCGCAATATGCTTCTACAATGTACATGAGATTTTGGGTGCTCAGCATTCCCCAAGATCTTAAAGGAGAGATGCTTATATCACCCCCTGGAGTGTCAGGGGTAAGGTCTTTTTTTTTTTGCTAACAGCTGTTTTGCTTTTCTTTCACAATAATGCTACCATTAATGATGGGGGGAGGGCCCTGGTATACTAATCAGACCCTGAATTCACTTTAAGCAGAGAGATGTGTGCCCAAAACTAGCTGCAGTAACTAATGGCACTCACGCTTGTGAATTGCAGTAAAAAGTACATGTGACAAAAGGTCAGCTGGTTGATGGGGCTTGGAGATGTTTTTAAAACATATGGAAATGCAGAAGTAGAAAGTAGATAATTATCAGTGGGACCTTGGCTGCCAAAACAATATTACCTTTATGTGTTTCTAAGGAGACAATTTACTTTCAGGACTGCATAAGTACAATAACAATAATTGCTAGTTGAGCTAGAATGTGACCTCGGGCTGTATTTCCACGGCAATCCTACAGGATATGGTCTAGACTAAAGTTTTAACCTTGTAACTTATATTTATTTTTCTATTAACTTTAAATTTAAGTGTGTCATTACTTGAAGTTTTTTTTTTTCCCCAAGTGGAAGCGGATTGTACTGTGAATTCCCTCTTTTCTGTCACTGAGTTTTTGCGGTGACAGCTACAATAATCTAAGTGGCCAGTTTATTAGAGTCTGGAAGTTCACAGATCTGTTCTGCAGACAGATACTTGCATGCACTGCAGTTATAGACTGTGATTATGAAACAACAGAATTTGGAAGATAATGTTCAGTGGTCAGTGGCTACAAGAAGCGTAGAGAGAAATGCCGATTGTGCCTTAGGAATTTACACCATTTTTTAAAGCTAAACTCCAGACAAACAGATTACTAGAGAGTTGAAATATGTACATGTAAGCTGTTTTAACTGCAAAATAATTTGTATTTCTGTTTATCCAGTCCTGAGGTTTACAGTCCCGCCAGACCACACACTCAGGGTAGTGACCTGACTTTTCTCTACAGCAGGTATGCAAAACAGCCCGCAACCTGTGACCCGACAGTGAAGGAGCTATATATGCTTCGACAATGATGAGCTCATCCCTCTGTTCTCTCCTCCTGTCACCATGTTTCATGACAGCATATGTGCATTATTTACTGCATTATTTATTTACTACTGGTATTTATATAGTACTAGCAATTTACTGTACACAGCGCACATTCACATCAGTCCCTGCCCTCAAGGAGCTTACAATCTAAGGTTCCAATCTCATATGCATTAATACATCCTGTGAGATTTAGCTTCCAATGGTAGCACATTAAAGGAGAACTATACTGAGACGCTAGAGCGGATCACGACTTAGATGACGGGATCCGCCCAGCTGCGTGAGTGGCAGTTGGCTCTGCCTATCTAGAGGCAGAGCCAGCTGTACCCGCCCCCTCCCCCTACCGTTCCGCCAGTCAGCGCTGGCAGATCGAAACGGGGAGAGGGGAATCCAGCCCCTCCCCCTGTCACGGCAGAGAGCCGTGACAGGATTGAGAGGTGAGCGAACGCCGGTATGTGTTCGCTCACCTCTCGATCTACTGAGCCGAACTGTGACAGTCTCATTGTCACAGGTCGGCTAGAACTATGAGGTGAGTGAAAAGCACTCACCTCATAGTTCTCCTTTAAGGACGCAGTCCACTCGCTTACTACGTCTTTTTAAGGGCTTATTTTGCCACTATTATGAATTCAAACTTAAAGTACAGCAAAGTAACGTTTTTTCCAGTCTCACCAACTACAGGTTATCACTAAAAACCTCTCCCACACAGGCAGTATCCAGCTGACGTGCCACACAGGCTGGTTCCAGGATGGAGTCCTCCTGACTCCTGGACAGACACCTCCCTTGTCTTCCAGATGGAACCCTGAACCTGAACCAGCATCCTTTTCATAAGGGCTGTGCACAGGTGCACCATCATTCGGTGCTGGTGACCACCTTAGCCCGGACCCAGGAATGGAGATTTCTTTCCTCGCGGTTCAATTAGAAATCTCCGGGCTCCAGGATCCCAACTATAATCCAGAAAACCTGGAAAGTATTGTAAAGCCAGCTCTTTCCAGGTAAAAGTACTTTCCTGGAACCGCTCAGCTCCTCTTGCTGGGAGTCCTGGGTGACTTTGATGACACATTATATCATGGTATTGCCACACACTGCCTCAATACGTACACATACTAGGGACAATTTACACAGGAGCCAATTAACCTACCAGCATGTCTTGGGAGTGTGAAAGGAAACCAGAGAACCCGGAGGAAACCCACGCAAGCACAGGGAGAGCATGCAAACTCCATGCAGATAGTGTCCTAACTGGGATTTAAACCGGGGACCCCCCAGTGCTGCAGGCATGAAGCATATAAACAAAACTGGTCCCCAAGTGCTGGCCTTACCTCCCCCACTCTAAGTACCACTGCAGATGGACTACGAGAGTCTGCTATCAAATCAGATTGTTATATTTACACTTGTTGCATGTAAAACACTT